ATAATAATAATAATAATAATAATAATAATAATAATAATAATAATAATAATAATAATAATTTGTGATTTGAAAGTATGAATATCAACTCAATAATTATGAGTAAATATTACAAAATGTGTAACAGTAATGTTCACTTAAAGATTTTGAAAAAACTTAAAGTAATCCTTATCATCAAGATATACAGAAATTATTTCAGCTGAAAATGAAAATCAATATTGAACTTCAATGAATTAGAAACAAAATTTACACATTTATTTCTGTTGAACTTCATGAGGCAAATACAAAACTGGTTTATTAAATTCATAACTAAACCAAAAATTACCAAATTTCTTTAAAATATAATTATAGCTTGATATTCTTAGTTCCTAGAATAATATGACATTTGTTTTGAAACGGAGGCAAGCAGGTATGAGTATTTAAAAGCTTCAGTATAAAAATAAATGATTTTATTTGTTAGAGTCCTGAAAGTTTTATAACTTATTCCTTTCTCTTCCCATGCCAAAGCATTTTATTCTTGAATAATCTGATGATGATCGGCAACTTACATTCAGGCCTCATATTCAGCATGTAATTACAGAAGCATATCAAGCACTTCGATATCTTATGAGAACTGGAAGGAACCTAGAGACTATAACAGCACAGCAAACACTCTATTTTTCAATTTTTTCTCAAATTTTCTAACTCAAATTTCAACTCAATTTTCAACTCAAATTTTTTAACACTATTGTTCGATCAAAACTAGAATACGCAGCAGTAGTTTCGTTCCCTGACAGAATTGGTTTAATTAAGTCATTTGAGATCTGTCAGAGGTGTTTTGCAAAATTTTTAGAATTCAGGGATAGTGGAAGTTATCCAGTTCATGGTATTGAGAATTAATCTTTCACAGCAGATTTGGGATTGACACTCTTGACAGCAGGAGGAAATTACAACAAATTATTACATTAATTAAAATTATTGAGGAAATAGTTTTGCATCTGACCTGCTGTCTCAGGTTTCATTTTCGATCCTTCAGTTTAGTTCTCGCTTATTTAGCATCTTTTACAATCCTGTTTCCAATAATAGGTGCATGCATCAATCTAAATTGTTCAAATTAATGGAAAATTAATTAATAGAATTAATTAATAATTTTCTGACTAATAGTGATGGCAAGACTGAGATTTTTGTTGATTCCATTATTTCTCTCATAGGGAATATAATTAATTGTGTCAATGCCTGTAATTAATTTTTTGTATAATCAGATAATCCTTAACTGGGTTGACCTGCTGGACTTATTGTAAATAAAATAAAATATAAATTGAATGTTTTCAAAAATATTTGAAACACACGTTAGCAACATGTATTTATCTTTGTTATTTCCCTGCATAATTCTCAATTACTAAATTATAACTGTCATTTACATGCACTTACCACTGGTTTTGTGTCTGCTGAAGTCATATATCCCACACACATGGTAGTAGTTGAATGAGACCATAAAAATTCTCCAATATCTTGTGATGGGTTATATTTCAAAACACACATGCCACCCATTTTTTCATCAACATCGTGCAGAAAAGGTGACTCTAAACACAAATACAACTTAAATATAATTCATATTTTTCAAGCATTAGTGTTTTTTCAGTATAGTCTCAATTTTTTGTTTTGTTTTAAATTTATGGTCATAAAATTTGATCTATTAAATGCATGATCAGCAAAAAATTCATAATCAAAAATAAAAGCATTCTGTGGAAAAAACACTGGACACAACTCTCAATTTATTCACATATCATTGAAATATCTCAAGAAGCACTAGTATTGCACAACATTTTTAATTGCTTTTCAATATTTATGAGACCAATTCATACATACAGAAGTTTTGTATTGTGTGCTAAATGTTAAATGCTTTTCCTGTGAAATGCAGAAATCAAAAAGGTGGATGGACATTTGTTTTTACCCAGAAACTTTGTTCTCATACAGTCATGAAGGCTAACTTCCGTTCTATTATCATTTAAGACACTGAGGGCTCCTTCTCGTGCCAACATAGTGCGCACAAGATATTCTCCACAGCCAGATGTGCAGGAAGCTACAGCAGGAACATCACCAACAGCATTCTGTGCCCATACTCCGCTTGCATACACTGCAGCCTATAACAACATCAATTATCCTACACAAATCCAAAGAAAATGTTGAAACAATGAAACTTGATGCACACTACGAATGAATATAGTTACTTAATATTTTTTTCTTTTGTACAAATTTGAAAATTGCTATTACTGCAATCATTGCAAAAAAAATGCACTGGACAGAAATGTCCTGCATTTAGAGGGGGGAGAGATTTTCATGTTTTACAGGTGTACCATTTGATAATAACTATTTTAAATTTTCTGAATCCTTGATGCAACAGGAAATAACACTAATTTAATGGGAGAATGGGCTGAAATTACTATTTAAATATTTATTCTCTGTGCAAAATGGCTCCTCAACATCTACTTTTTTTACTACTGTTTAACATTCTTTCCCTTACACTTCTATTGTTATTTATTTGATAATCTTGTATATGATTCTTTGATGTTGCCTATGGCAGTCACATAAATCTCTTAATAATGAAAAATTAACAACCATTCACAAATTTATTTACAAATTATTTATTAGTTTCTTATGAATGATTAGGTGTAACAGTTGCATAACTTGTGAAGACACTTTTTCTTATACAGCTTGTCTCTGACATGGCATGAAATGAAAACTCAGAAGCATGAAATATGTGCAACTATATCAGCACATTCTTACTTGCATTATTTGCAACACTTATATAATATTATAATGAATAACTTCTTGAACATGCAAAAGTATTACCCACCTTAAAAAATATTTCACCAAACAGAGACTTGTTTTCAAGTTTAGCAAGCAATTAGCATAACCACTACTCTAATCTCCTAAGTGGATTATATACTCTCTAGGGCATAACAACCTTCCCACTAGTTTTAAAAGAAAGTTGAACATTTGCAGTTTCCAAAAATTCATAGTTTGTAATGAAAATCATTAGAATTAGAGTCAAGTAAAAATATCAAGAAAAAGTATGCCGATCTGAGGAAATCTAGTTAACATAATTTTTAAAAGTTGTCGTTATTTCACTCAAGAATACACACAAAAAATGTATATATTTTTTTACATGATATTATTTAAAGAACTAATTTTGAAGAAGAGATTTCACTATAAAAAAATCTCTATCTTCTATTTTGAAGTTGTTGGATGAGAGATTTTTTTTCTATAACTTTCAAAAAATCAAACGTGCTAGGAGAGTTTTACCTGTGCCATTTTTAGGAGTAGTTGGTTCTATCGGAGAAAAAAGTTAAAGAATTTTGAGCAGTTTATGAGAAAATGTTATTAAAGCCTTCATTTCACCCAAAATTATGCAAAAACTCTACATATTTTCAAAAAATTATGTATGACCTTATTTGTGATCTAATTTTCAAAAACAGAGTTTAAAAAAAAAGATCTTTATTCAATATTATAGTTGTAGTAAGACACCAAAGAAATATTAAACTTTTGCAGTTTTCAAATGTTCGGAGAAATCAATGAACATCAAAATTAAGTCAGTTTTATAAGCATATCTTGTTCTAATTTGTTACAACAATTTGGACTAGTTTTTGAGAAAAAAATTGAAAAGGATGTTAAGACTTCATGGATTTTCTGATTTTTGGGGGATTATTTACATTTCAAATTCAATGGGCCAGGACATCAGCCAGATCGGTCAAGGAATATCAATTTCAGCCAAAATCCTGCTTATGGCTTTTGCACAGAAAGGTTTCCGATATATTCGGTTCCAAGATAACCGAAATTTTGGACCCCACAAAATGCGGATTCTGATTATACAACATATTGGAGGCAATAATTTACAACATGTAGGAGCAAAAAGAATACTCCTCCACATTAGGGATTTATAATAAGAGTTTTTCTATAGAAAAATGTCCTTTTCCCTGCAATATTGCATTATTTTCTCTTTACTTTGACAGTAGTTTGCAAGAAAGTAATAATGACTTAATAACTTTGTAGATTAGAAACCTCTGGTATTGAACCACTCATGTATATATGTAGCACATACATTTGAAATCACTGTTATTGTATATTCATTTTTTATATGCTATGGTCACAGCGATTAATTATGTGTAATGACTATCCAATTATGTTAAAAAATACATTATGTTAAATCAGGTAATCAAAGAGAGAAATTATACACTTCATTTAGCCATAACAGCTGGTGTGATTAGGTTGATATAATAATTATCTTCAAACTTTAATTACTTTGTTCTTTGTGTATAATAGGTAATATGAAATGGTAAAAGTAGCAATTCTCTTTTTCGTGGACATTTATTTCCTTGCAGAGCACAGTTGATACTTCGCAACCCATATCCAAGTTAGTCACGAAGTTCAAGTTTTCAGCTTACGGAATTAACATAAAATACATAATTGAGAGAGCACAATGCATTCTAAAGTATTTTGTTGCAAAATACATTATTTCTGAACATTTTTGTTTTTTTCTGACAAACTAAAAGTAATCACATGTACACATGTACAAGTGCAAACACAAATTAGTACTTTACTAACTCATTATGTTTGATATTTGAAGAGAATTACTTTGACTAACTTTGACCAGATATTATGTAAAATGGTTAGGCTAGAGTAAATGATTAATTAATTAAAAGTTTACTTCTGAACACATACGGAAATGAGCATTTTTGGTAATTGATCTAATATGCATTTGTGTGAAATAAAAACTATTTGCGAAGGCAAATCAGCTACAGATTTTGGAATAACTATGTCATATGTGAAGGGATAAACTTACTGCTATGAGAACATGGGGATAATAATTTGAATAACTGTATTTTCCACAAAATTCTAGAAAATGTGCTTAGATAGAGAAGTTACATTCACGTCCAGAAGCAAAACAAGAGGCCACCTCTTCATTTGCTCAAAGGACACGGAAACTGGATGAAATACCTGATCAAGATAGGGGTCATTGGCCCATAAACTGCGATACAATACTTAATTCAGCTTTATTAACCACTTTAACCAAATTTGGTAGTTACTATCTATAATGGTTAGATAGTTTTTATAATAACTGGATTAATTACTATGACTAACATATGCACATTAGTGTTCATTAAAATACAACTTTTTTCAGCTGGGATAAAGAAAAGAAAAAAAACTTGAGCTGCAAATATAAAGGAAATGCGTTAATTGATTCAAAAAGCATTACAATTTTGTCTTCAATAATCCACTTTTATATTTATTGTTATTAAAATGAGCATAACAGCATGAATCACCCACAATTTTTTTGAAATATTTTTTTCAGAAATTGCCAAAGTCTGCTCTTTCTAATAGCATTTAAATCATTTTGTTTTATTAAATTTATATAATAACTTTATATAATAAAGTTTACAAAATAACAATTTATTTCATTAATTATAGAAAGCACTGTCTGTTTTATTAAGGTCATAATAATCAATCAAATTAACAGACACTAATTATTCATTAAAGTAAAACATAAAATTTCTTTGCAAATATAAAAGTGATTGCATGAAAATTAAATAGACTTTTTTCTGATATATCAATTTTTGAGAGGCACAAAATTCCTGGTGACAGATTATTGCTCTTTGAATCAATTTAACAACTACTCATTTCCTGTTCTTTTGCATCCTGCAGACAATTTTTACCCAATTTTTACCCCTAATTTAGCTTTTAATTCATCTGCAAAGTACAACTAATCCCTTGTCTATTTTATCTACATATTTGAAAATAAATGTATTATAAATAATTAAATGGGTGATATTTAATATTTGTGCCTTGCATGTTGTCTTTTATGAATTGTGAAAAACAAATTTTTTAAATAAGAGAGATGAATATTTAAATCAATTTTTTTAAACACAATTATACACTAATCCATATTCATATTCTTCTTAGTTCATTACATCACACAAGTCTTTTCTTCACCTCAAACCAGCAATATTATAGTAGCCTTTAGAAAATTTTCATTTGATGTTGCTCCCAATTTTGAACTTCACCATATCCTGGCTTTGTGCTGTGCAAACACTACATAATTTGTGAAACCCAATGTGATTGTATTAGTCTTTTAAGAAATGAAAACATTGTTGAATCCATATTTTTATTTTACAACCTAAATATTAGACAAGTTAAGCTGTACCTGGCTGTAGACTAACATTCTTTTGCCCTGATGATACGCTCTCATTTCTTTCTCATCGCTCTGTTGATGTGCTGACAAAACTATTCAATCAGAATAATACAATATAGTAATAATAATAATAATAATAATAATAAGAATAATGATAATAATAATGATAATAATAATGATATGATAAGATAATGATGATAATAATGATGATAATAATGCATAATAGTTAATAATAATAATAAATAATAATAATAATAATAATAATAAATAATAATAAAATTGAATTAATAATAATAATAATATTTACTGTCACTATCCGAGTTGCCTTCCATTGAGCTACTGATGCTAAAATTCCTAGAAGGTAACATTGATTCCCTTGAGAGTTAGAAGATTTACAATTTGCCTTGCGCAGTGTCATTCAGTAAGTTGCTGCAAAATCTACTAAGCTACTACTCCTAATAATAATAATAAATAATAAATATAATAATCATGAAAATAATGGTGACATAATTCAATCACTTATTAAAATCTAGTTTCTCAAATATTTATGTTCTCTTATTTCATTAGTACATCTTTATACATAAGCAAGACGATACCTTTTCCTTAATAATTTAATGAGTGAATTTAAGACTTTGATTTTACAAACCCCTATACCTACTTTGTCCAATGTCATCTCATGTACATATTTAAAAAAGGACGTAAGAAAATTATATTTTAGAAATGTATCATACCTGGCCAACGCGACCAACAGTCTTTAAAGCAATCCCTCCACTGGAGCAGGTAGCTGCCACATGGCCCAATGAATCCATGCAAACTGCACCCACTGTATCAAGGCGACTGCTAGCTACCTATAATTATATTTCAAAGCACATAATGTCCACAATTTTTCAGTGGTTGATGTGATATGACAGTTGACAATTACATCTTACTTGTGACTGTTCCTCTTCATATTTTCTTAATTTCTTGCGGTAATGTTGGTGCAGTTTCCATGATTCCGCTGAAAGACAAACAAACTATGAAAAGTTAACCTAACATCTTCAAAACATAACAAATGAAAACTCATACCAGATATAAGTTCTGTTGGTGGTACTGTGGTAAGTCCATATTTAAGGGCATGTATTCGTGCTCCTTCACCAACAAGAAAACTAAAACAAACATAGGGGTTAAGAACTTAACAATATCTTCCTCTTCTCTGATTTTTTAAAAGTACAGTAGCTACACATTTACATGCACAGGATACTTCCTAATCAATACATTATCAAACAATTATTAATTATCTCTATACACCTTGGCGGAACTCTTCCAAATGGAAGTCCTTGTCTCTGGTGCTCGCACAAAAGTTTTGCCAGCAAAATTGGATTCTTCACTCCTGATACACCACCCACAGCACCATAATGAAGAGTACAGCCGTCCATCACACTTGCATCACATTCCACACTGCCTCCCCATGTGAGATTAGAACCATAACCTGCATTGGTAAGAGGGGAATCTTCGAGGTGAGCAGTTGCTTGAGCACATGCATCCAAAGCAGATCCTCCATTCTTAAGAATTGCAGCTGCCTATAAAACTATGTGTCAGTATAGGGAAAGACCTACACACATTGACTAAAGACTTATATGTCAAATAATTTTGCTTAGACAATAGTTTAACTGAGGTGCAAGTATTGCAAGCAAAAAACCTCAGTTTAATTCCATTACCTTTTGACAAGCTCCATAAACTAGCCTTTTGTACTTTGGTCTAAGTTTCTCACTATGAAGACCAGCACCTATTAAATTACAAACACATCACATCTTAATAAATCAGGAAATACTTGAACTACACACAAATAGAATTCATTGAAAGTGATATTCTTTTGTATCACTGTACGATATTACCTAAATGAACACCAACAAAACCATCCATTAATATAACAGCTGATATGAAAATATCAGGAACGCACAATTCTAAACCTAAGATGATTTTCTTTAATAAATTTGTAATTAAATATCCTCGGACGATTTGCACTCATTTGCAGGTTAAAATTGAATAAAGCGAAAAAAAATAAAAATGTCCTTTACACCCTAGCTAGTAAATTATTAACAACGCTCTTTATTTTTTAACAGTTCACACCACGTTCATTTATAGTTGTCTTTTTTTACTTTCTTTTCTAACAGTTCAGGTGCGGCCAAGAACAGAACAAGCCGCCAGTAGAGATTTAAGTCGCCTGCGGTCGTCTGGCCATCTCGAACGACATCGATCTTACACAACTTGAAGTGGCTCGAGTAATCGGAATTGGAATTAGAGTCGAATCGGTTCCTGGTTTGGTTAGGCCAACATGTTAGAACTGGGGTGTCCAACTTACAGTACCTCAAGGGCCACAACTAAAACCTTTAATATGGTTGCGGGCCAATCACAGATTAATTATCATATTAGATTATTCATCCATGGGTATATTTTAAATAGGGAATTTTTGCACACCATGACGTTAGCACTATCGATCTTCTGTGTTTGCGCATATGCACTGGTGAGAAACTTAAACTGCGCATGCGCAGAAGATCGATAGTGTTTTAACGTTCGATAGGGCACAAACTTCCTATTATTCTCACACAATCCACACTTTTGCACCCATATTGTTGATCTCAATAGTTTGCCCGGCAGCTTTGAAACGGGGGTGGGGGACAACCATGCGGGTTCAATGCATATCGCAATGTAACAAATTGGAATGATTTTGAATTTCTGAATTTACTACAAAAAAATCCATAAATCTAACCTAAACTTGACCTATTTTGACATTGAAGGGGGTGTTGGTCACAGCAAGGCGCATGGACCAGGCGCCCAATGTTGTCGCGCGACAAGATTCAAGAGACTTCCGATTTTGTTTGAGTTAAGTGTGTATTTTAATGAAATTAATTTTTTCTTTTCACTTTAGAACAAAGCCATTTAGTATAGAAATTAAAATGATTTTTTTTGCATTTTAGTAATTATTTAAAATGTAATTTTTTGCATTTTCCGTCGATTTTGACAAAGTTATTTTTTACCTTTTCCCGTCATTTTCAATGCATTTTTCGCTGGTTTCATTGATTTTAATTCCATTTTATTGGTATTTACTTCAAATAATATTTACGAAGTGCAACAAATGTTCTTCAAAGAATTCCTGGGTATCCTTCGATTTCTTCGCTCAAATATTGTAATGTAAGCTGCTGAATGTAATTCAAGGTTCCTGTGACGCCTATCAGCCCCATTTTCGCTTCGGCCGGTTTTGGGATAAATAAAGACAGATTTGTTGGTAAAGAACGGTACAAACCAAACGCTTGCCAGCTGAGTGCACTTGAACGAATAGAAGCAACCTCGATTTCATCAGTAACGTATCCAGTCTGTGTTGTTCAAGTGAAGTGGTTTTGATAACATTTTATAGATCACCAAAATCCGCCTCCTATCCTTTCGCGGACCACAATAATTTAACCCCCTAGCTTTCGAGCCGCCAGGAGGACAACCCTGAGTTAAATTATAACATGTATACGAGTTAGAATATACAGTTACAGTACTCGTTTGGTTCGCCCCGACGCCACCTATGAAGGAAAAGATTTGGTCAATAGTCCGCTGATTTCTCACCATATTCTTTGTATTAAACTGGATAGGATGAATACAATACTGATTTGTTGAAATTATACATACTTTATTTATTAACACAATTTGTTACAGTTTTCTTTTTATTTCTCCTAAAATACTAAATGTAAACAAAAAAAGAGGCCTGGGAGATGTCAAAATTGCAAAATACTAAGTTAGAGCCCGGAAGTATGGCAAAATGCCTTTTTACTTTCCCGTATACGGAGTAATATACGTAGTATAGGGAAAGTTATATAATGTTGCGAAAAATCTATTTCGAAGTAATTTAATGTTGCGAAAATCGATTTCGCCCACATAACTCTCGCATGTTCTGCACGTTTCCCGGAATGTTTTTTGCATTTTCTCCCTCGTGTACCCGAGTTTTGTAGCGGTAAATTAATCTGAAAATTTAGAAATTAATTTTAAATGGCGCAGAGGTCCCAGTGGGACGGATAGTCGGGGCGTGGGCGGAGCTGGGCAATGCCCCCTGCGTGGCGGGAATCGGCCGGGCGGTTGGCGTGGGGTGGGAATAAAATTACCTCAATTTTACTTCATAGATATAGTTCACTCCTTTTCTTAATAGATGATTGTGAAAAATCCAAGCATCGCTGGGTTGCTTGTGTTAGTTAATAATGATAGTTTTATTAGCAGATTCTCGAACCGTTGCGATGCGAAGATGACAAGACATTTCTTGGAGAGATTTTGATTTAAAAAAATACCACTGAGAATCAATTATGTATATCAAACTTATGTTTACAGAGCAACACAACAATTTTTGATATCGGATTTCCATTTTGTCTTGATACGATTCGATGTTTTCACCGTGCTGCGTTCTGAGTTAGGAAGCTCTTAGACCTTCCCTGAACTTTTCTTTTCAATGAGATAACAACTATTGTATACTGCCAGCAAGAGTTTAGGTTTATCTTATCATTCACTGATACGGAAAAGGCTTTACCGAGCATTATTCTGTTAAGAGAAGAAATCAAATTACGTTCTCCCTTCCCCTCCTCTCTAAATGTATAGTTTGTTCATTTCATTCCAGTACCTTCTTGGGGTCGACCTGTAGTTCTTTCAAGTAGTTCAGAATATTTACATTTAAATAGTGTTTTGAACTTTGAAAATAAGTAGAGAGAACTCTTTCCAGTTTATATGCTGATTGATAAGTCTGCAGTTTATATTTTGTCATTTTAGTTACGTCTATTTAATTTGTAGAACGGGGGTTCGATGTGTTTTCCTTACTTTTGAAAGTGATAATGAAGGTTTGAATGTGACTCAGGAAAAGTGAGATTCTTGCAGGTTGAAAAGCAATGTCACACAAATTGAGAAGACAGCTGCCATCACTTGTAATGAGATAAATAGTTCAAGAGATATTGTAAATGTATTCGGTAATATTCGGAATTTTGAGCTCTCTAAAGATATGTGTATTTAAGATGAACCAAGGTGCTCGAAAATATTTCTCTGGAATTTATTTTGTAGGTTTAGCTAAGCTATTTAGTGCAATTTTCGCCTGGCTGGACAAGTGTAAACAAGTTTCGGTCTTATAATTAATTGATAGACATAATAAAACGAGAAAGGAAAAAAATCGCGCGCGGTCCGACCATTGGTTGTAATGTTGGTTGGTTGTTAATGATTGGGCGCTAGTTCTATTATTGGACGCTAAGGCCACTAGTTCCTTGTCGTGCATGTTTTTCCTCTAGAGGTGTCGGTGATCTCCCCCGCTGGTTGGCGAGGTCTGATGCACCTACCGTCGGCTAGCGGGGTTTCTCCCAATCAAGGCGCCGCCCCAGCCGGAGCAAGCTCTAAGCTCCCAACCGGTCTCCCGGCATGTGTGGTTGCGTGGTGCATGTTAGAGTGTGTAAGGGGTGAGGATAGGAAAAGGAAGAAGGGAAGATCGCGCGCGGTCCGTGGTCCGTTAGGGTACTGCTCCGGCATTTGCCTGGTGTTGATGGGAGAAACCACGAAAAACTATTGATCGGAGCAGTCGGCCTCTAGAATTCTCCTCCAGACAGCGACTTAATTCGAACTAGGTGACTAGTATCAAAAATCGTGCCACTGTCGGGACTCGAACTTAGAACCTCCCGGTTATAGGCATTGCAGGGATATCAGTTGATGCACAGAAAACATCTCCCGGTTTGATTTTTAGTTACTGATTCGGCGTTTCTCCTGTGTGCATCAGAAAGAAAAAAAAATTACCGATCAGATCACGACCACCAGGAACCAAACGGGAAAAAATTCTCCATTCAGAGATTTTTTTTGAACTCGACGTAGCGCTACCTAGCCTGTGTCAAACTAGTGATATACAATAGCATATACTTCATAGTCGGTTATATTTTTTTAAATACCCCTTTTCTCTTCTTTTATCCGCGAGAGAAAATTGAAAAATTGGAGGGGTTTTTGAATTTTTTTATAAATTGCATGTAATTCAAACACAAATTACGCGAAATCTACTAGTTTCTTTTAAAAAATGCACATGACCTTTTTGAAGAGATGGTTTTTTGAAACAGACTTTGTCTAAGGCAACAATATCTATCTGCAATTTTGTAGTTTTGAAATGTTAATTTTTTACAATTTTCAAAAATACAGAGAATTTTCCGAAAATGGGAGTAACTCCGTGTTTTTTACCTTTCTTTGATACATACGAGAAGACACAAAGGAACAATTCGAAACTGTTTTTGAACAAAAAAATTTGAAAAATCAAAAATTGCCAATATATCCTCGCAATTGCCAATACAATATATTCCGCGTAAAATTACACGACAATTACTCATATTATCAAAAAGTGAACATTGCTTTATTTCGAAATCTGCCCTTAAAGAATAGGTTTTATTAAGACACAGACTAAAAAAGAATCACAGAACTTTGTTTTCCGCCCTGACGCGGCAAGGTATTTGCGACCCTGTTTCTTTACGCATACTGGCCGTAGCCTAGGCCGTACTACGTTAACCTTTTGTAAATAATTTGTATAATTTATACTGATTTAATTGTTCATATATTCCTGTGATTTTTCGGATAGCTCTGAAGAAGATCGCTTCGCGATCGAAAAGATCTTGAGATTAAATACATATTTGATACCAGAAAATACCTTTATTTATTTAATTAGTAATTTACTTCCTCTTACACGTGGTGTAGCCAGAATCTAAGTTTTGTGGGTCCTTGATACCGATAAATTGATTGACGGCAAAACGTCTGTGAACAAAGATAGCGGCTAAACTGCAAGCGGTATTTTCACAAAATATGGATAAACCTAATCGATCTAGCTGACGTCGCTTAAATTTGAAACCGATGTTTTAATTTTGGCGGGTACTTCACATGAAGTCCCTGGTTCTTTTCAAATATTTTCAAAAAAAAAAGTTACCAAATTTTTTGATTAAATTTTGACCTCGCATAGCATAAAGGACTTTTAAGAGAATGGTGCTGGTTTCATTTTCATTTAATTCTCTAGTTTTTCAAAAATTGAAAAAATTGGTCGATGTTTTCCTAAAACAACAGTAAGTAAACAATGCTAAGCAAGAATAAATTGAAATTAAACCAATCTCAATGTATATCGCCAAAGGATTATCAATTTTGCACTCCGCTTTAATAACTTTATTTAACTGTTTTGAAATTTTAAAAATGTTGTTATCGACAGCAATTGTTTTATGTCCTT